GGCAACGCACACTCTAGTTATGCCACTGAGTAGATTACTCAACCAAGTCCTGCGCTTACTAAAAGATCTTCAACGTATTCAGGTTCTGGACTTTAAAAAAAATCAACGTTAGAACAGAGATTTACTGAACGTAGATTAGTACAATGCTGATATGACAATTTCACTGTGAGGATTTCATTCACTACTCAGTTGTAATTGATTTAGCGAAACAAGATCGCTAATCACGTCGAAGTGCCCAACAACGCTAGAATACAATAACCTAAAGACGTCTAATTTTCCAAAATGAGACTTTGTTATTTTTAGTCATTAATTAAATTCACCCCAAGCAAGGTGATAATGCCTCTAAGACGTGCAGAGTTATTAGGAGTGAAAGAGAATAAGATTTTAGAAAGAACTGAAAATTCAATCCCAAACAGGAAACAAGGGTTAAAACTCGCTTCAAAAGAAGAGGAAGAAGTGTGAACGGGGTAATAGGCGGACCTATTTGCTCCTATTGAGGAGAAAAAATGCTAAATGAAATTAGGCGGAGATGTTAGAAGTATAGATTAGAAGTACAGTTTAGAAGCAACTGGAAACCTAATCATAAACAGGAAACAAGGGATAAATCTCTACTCCTGTTCAAAAAGTTGCAAGGGGTGTGTGTATATATATATATATATATATCGAAAACTATGATATACATATATATATATATATATATATATCGAAATATATATATATATATATATATATATATATATATATATATATATCGAAAATATATATATATATATATATATATATATATATATATATATATATATATATATATATATATATTGAAAACTATGATATATAATCAGACATTGAGTGCTGGTGCTAATAAAAATAGTGCTCGATATATAATTTATATTAATAATAAATATATACTTATTTTCCTCACCGGTAGCCAGTCTCTGAGTTTCAAGCACGGTGCAATCGTCTGGTGCTGATTGAATATATATATATATATATATATATATATATATATATATATATATATAAAACACACAATGATGAACTTCCGCTAGTATAGCCATCGACGCCTTCTGAATAGTTTTGTCTCCCCAATTTCATTCTCAATGCTTTGGTGAACCCGTTATTTCGTTTTCTTGCCCTTCGCAACATTTCGTATCCAGGTCTCAGGTTGGAAAAGGAACCCAATCGGCTACACACTCATATATTCAGATATAAAGGAATATATCCACAAAGAAAATATTAATAAAAGAAATAGAACTCCCGCCACTATTAACTAACCTTGCCTGACTCTCCTGAAAACTTCTTCAACTTTCAATTTCAAACTCAGAAATAAGCGATTCCTGAACGTTGCTTTTCCAGGCACCAGCACAAAACTAACGAATCTATGTGCGTCCAAAAGTGTCTGTTTTGGAAGACCCTAATTTCCGTCATTTTTAAAGAGCGGTTTAGGTGTTTGCCGACAGAATCGAACCCACAGTAGTAGCAATTAAATTTTTCTAAGTTTTGTTCAGCCCTACAGAAGATTAAATGATTGAAGATAGATTCACCTATTGTCCGGCTCACACTCACACCCTGGTCTTTTGAACAGGAGTAGAGGTTTATCCCCTGTTTCCTGTTTAGTATTAGGTTTCTGGTCCCTTCTAAAATAGTCTAATTCTCTTTCACTCTTAGTAGCACCTTGTGTCTTAGTGGCATTATCGCCTTGAATTGATATAAAAATATGTAGCTAGATAGAGCGTGCTTTCTCACCCTTCTAAATGGAAAATGTTTTAAGAAGCATTTGAAATTCTGTCCTTTACTTGGTCTCGAACTCCGACTAATGATGGATCAATGGGAATTCGGAAATTGACCAGCGTCAACGGCAGATTTGCTTAATTTATAAGGAAAAAAATAGAGAAAAATGTGTCGTGGGTTGGTAAAAATGGTTGGATGATTTTTACGTGATTTACATAGGTGAGAAGAATGAAACAATGCTTTCAGCAGACCCTCGTTTCTAACGTGCGTTAATTTTCTTTTTCTTTATTTTTATTTATGTGACTCGATATTGTATACTTTCTTGAATCATTTAATTTCATTGTATCGGTCTAACGAGAAAGATTTTGGTGACAAATTATATCCATTTTTTAAAATTCTTTTTTCAACAACAATAAAATGAAACGGTGACGTACACTGTCTTTTATTGAAGAAATAATAATAATAATAATAATAATAATAATAATAATAACAACCTTTTTGTCGTGAGTTCACGTCCAACGGATTTAGCTTCTTTCAAACACACACACACACACACAAACGCACTTGAAGAAACACTTGCCTTCCAAAAATGATAAACGTGGTGACATATGAATAGACTGTAAAAATTGACATTACTCACTACCCGAGTGACGGGTGATTGGGGTGTGAAGCCGTGGATGAGAGAAGCACAATATGAAACACAATGAAGAAAATTAATGCGATTTTTATTAATAAGTTCCACACAAAAGCATTTCTCGACGACAACAACAATGGGGTCCGGTGAAAAGCTGGCTGGTCTGAGAGAAACTAAGCCAAGAAATCGCGTGTATTTCTCTTGAGCAGATTATTTTTTTTTATTCTTCTCCTTCTTCTTCATTTATCTTCCTTCTTAAATTGATAAATAATTTGTCAATTCACTTTAATTGCCGTGTTTCACTTACTCAATCACTGAGTTTCCCCTCTTGGGTCATTGAAATTCAAACACTTTTTTCTCGGCACCAGTTAATAAGAGCAAATACATTCACATACGTATATATTGACATATTTAATTTCTTTTTATTCCATGGTGAGGTCATTTCAAGAGATATGTGAAATTTACGGCGAGATGCGGGAAACGCATAACAAATTGACAGTTTGATTAATCAATTTATTTTAATTACCCGTTTATATTTGTGATATAATGGGAGCATATTTGTTTTCTTATAGATGTAGGAATGGGGTGCTTAAAAGTTTTTTGCAAAAAAAAAAAAAATAACCTTAAAAACATAATGCTTAGTTCAGAGTTTGGCAAGTGAGTTGCGCTGAGGGCATTTAGACTATAGCCTAAGTGTTGCTGACATAGTAATTGTGAGTTCAATTCCTGGGTCGGGTGATGCAGATTTAGGCTCAATGGAAATAGTGTGAAAAAGAACTGATTAGTAATAACTAAAAAAAAAAAAAAAAGAACAGGACGAGATATCAGTGACATAGAAAGTGGAAAGAGAACAATCTATCCGCGTAGAATAAATAAAGGACTCAGTCTGATATTCCTTGAAGATTACACGGATCGACAAACGCCTGAAGAAGGCCGAAGGGCAAAAAAGTCGAAACGTTGTGATAACAAAAAACAAGGATAAAATTCCGAAAGTAAATCTATATAATAAATGCAAATGTCAGTGTGTCACACTTTTTTCAATCAAAGGGATACAATTTTCTAATTTTCAATAGCTCATGTTACAGAAATTTTGGATTCCAAAGTTTTCATTACTCCAATTGTTTTGGGCAATATTTTTTACATGATTTTTTGCAACGAATTTTTTTTGTACGACAGCAATTTGCGAAATCCAGTGAGAGTCAACTATAAAATAAAAATAATAGTTTGTATGGAAAGTAAGGACCTACGCAACAGAAGAATTATCGTTGAACTTTTAAAAGGTAAGCTTAAATATTAATGGAATGCTTAATTCTTGTCTATCGCATACGGCAACATCATGTCTCGCAAAAAGAAATCTCGGCCAACAGCGGACCAGATTATAATCAACTATGCCAATCCTCTAGCGAGGAAAAGAAATTGTGGCCTTGTTCGTAGTTAATATTAAGAGTTGGGTTTTTTATTATTATTAAAGCTTCCATTATTTTTAATCTTTAAGCCAACTCTTAACAATATTAATTACGAACAAAGCCACAATGTGCTAACCGTATTCGGAAATTAAAACATCCCTACAGCACACTAAAATATTACATATAATGCGCACACTCAATTAAGCTGAAAAATCGAATCATCCTTTATAATGGCTAAAAGTATAGCCGAAAGCGATCGGAACTATAAAACATTTGGACAGTTTTTACACACTCTTCGTCCAGAAAAGAAAGAAAAATTAAATAAAAAGCTTAACGGTTGTACCTTTTCTGTCGTTTTTAATGAAACATATATATATATATATATATATATATATATATGTGTGTGTAAAGGATTTTTGGGTACCGTTTTGGTGCTTGAAGCAAGGGAATCGACTAATATAGTTTAATTTCGCATCCGTCATTTTAAAAGATTTCATCATATGTTTTTCCTTCCGCCTTTGTCGTTTGTTTTTTGTTCCTTCTTATTTTCTGCTCACTTCTCTTTCTTTCCCATCCCAGTCACCATTTTGAAAACTTGACTTCAAACACCTCGGGGTGCCATAATTATCGATCGTCAATAAACAAAACTATTTTATTTCATAAATCTCTCACCTGGTAGCTATGAAGTTACTTAAAGGAAAGATAGGGAAGTTTAGGCCGGGGAGCGTTCCGGCCGACGGCTGAAAGAGATGGCTGGCAGACGGATGCATGATGTCGTTGTCTTTAGGTTAGGGGTGTGTGAATTGTGTCTTTTGTAGACTGTTTGACGGTGGGGGTTCGGAGTGTGGTTAGTAGCAGTCTCAAGAGAGGGATAAGCATGTATGACAACAACATAAAAGGAGAGGAGAGTTGGGGAGGATTTTGAAGAAATGGCAGAGAGAAAGGGGCCGTGCAAGTGTGAAATTGTGCGTAAGAGAAGGAAAAAAAAAGGAGGGGAAGGCGGTGGTTTGGTAGACGGTGGGTTTAATAATTTTTGATTTGAGGACTGTATATCCCAAGTAAACCCAAGCAGTTGTCAAAATTGTTTTTTTTTTGTGGGGGGGGGTGACTTTACATTTTCATTTTTTGCAATTACTTTAATTATTTAAGTAATGAAAGAAAAAAATTTATATAATAAAAAACAAAATAACATAACGTTTCTTGATGTCATCAGAATTATCATTTCGACTTATGGCCACATCACGTTGAAACATTCGTTCCCTTATGATCATCAAAGTTAAGCAACGTTGAGCCTGGTCAGTACCTAGATGGGTAACCACTTGGGAATACCAGGTTCTGTAAGCTTGGATGTGCGGGTGGTATAAAATACAAGGCTACATCACGTTGAAACATCAGTTCCTGTACGAACATCGAAGTTAAGCAACGTTGAGCCTGGTCAATACCTAGATGGGTAACCGCTTGGGAATACGTAGTACTGTAAGCTTGGATGTGCGTGGAGAACCGAATTCCAATTTCCTTTAGATTCGTTATATTTACGCGCAAATGTATAAATCCCCCTCTTCTTCCCTAGCTAAGTTAGGAAGTCTTAAAGAAAATGGCAATAGAAAAAAACTTATACTCAAAATCAAGAAAAGACTGTCGAAATTCCTTGGACACATAATGAGGAGCTTGGAAAACGCAACCCTCATGAGGCTTATTAAGTGAGATAAGTGAAAGCAGCGAGACATTTACTGGACGAGTGAATGGACGTTGTAACGTGTGGGGAGCTTAGGAAAGGGGGGGGACTGCGCACAAGGTAGTTGTGGAGAGCCATGATCGCCTACGTCCTGAAGGCACGCGGCATATAGAGGAAGAAGAAAGAATGTTTTGGGATTCACACGAAAATTCCCGGTCCTATCCAAAAGTTGGTTTATTTTGTTTTGTTTTACGGTATATCAACCTCAATTGGTTATTTAATGCCGACAAAATTTTTATTGCTGGAAAATATTTTTGTTTTGACAAAAAACTATTTCTGGTGTTATTTTTTTCCTTAAATTCGGTAATAGTTTTTTTTTTTTTTTTTTTTTTTTTTCAAAAACGTATTGCTGGTAATACTTTTTCTTCTAAAATTTATTTATGGTATTAAAACCTATTTTTACACCTTCATAGTGTTTTTTACCCCATTTTCGGGGTTAACTATTTGCCCATAGCTGGGACCCTAACAGTTGTTACCACCCCGGGTCAGGGAGGACCTGGGAACACCAGCATTTAAGAGGTGGTTCCACGCTTCTCAAACCTTCTGATCAGAGGCCTTGCTGCTGGACGTATTTACCCAGGACGCGGATGTAGTTTATCGTCATACACAGGACGGCCTATCCATTCTGTGTCGTAACATTGCTGGTTAATCTAAATGGTTGCTGGGCGACCAACTCGTCTTGCGCCATGGCTAGGTGTCCAGAGCAGTAGATCATTCGCACGTTCTTGTTTTCTTCGCTAGCAATGTCCTACTGCAAAGCGCATTCTGCGTTCACGTAAGATTGTAGAAATATCAGGGATGGAAACATAGAGCTGGGATTTAATAGGATGTTGTCTCTAAGAGATGTTAAGTATAGCTCTCAATATCCGAGAGTAGGCTCGATCAAGCTTAGATTCAAGGCTTTTAGTTAAACAGCGGCATCATACATTAAACCCCTCTTGATGCGAAAGAATCAGCATTTGAGGTTGTCTTGTAGATCAGATTTCCAGATTACATCCATTTTATTCAAGGTGGCCCAGGCTTTAGCTATACGAATTTTCAGATCTTTTTCAGTAAAATTTATCTTGCTCCCTAGGTATGTAAAAGATTTGTCGGATATTAATGATTCTTATGAGACAGTTTGTATTGAACATTGTGGGTTGAAACTTATGACTTCAACTAAAACTGAATAATAATAAACGTTACAGCAATTGAAATTTTAATTAATCAAAATTATTCGATTCTTTTAATGTTTTGTTTTAGAAAATAATATTGTGAGAAATTTTGCTTAAAATCGTATTATCAGTAGGTAAGATTGATATTTTTTCTAAATAATTTATGATAAAGTTGCTATTTTGAGGTTAAGACTATTGAAGATAGGGTCAGGTTTTGTATATTTTATTCTCCGGTGAAGATTAAATTGTATTTTGATTTAGATAAACAAATTATTCTGAATTAAATGTATATCATGTAGGTTGTTTTTATTTGATAAGTAAAAATTCATGAAAAACGAAATTCTATAATTGCATTATATCTATCTATCAATCTGTAAGTGTGTACATATATATAAAGAGAATATGTATATATGTGCAAATATATATATATGTGTGTGTGTGTAAATGAATAGGTGTGTGTATATATAGGTATTTGTTTTTATTTGATAAGTAAACATGCATAAAAAAACAAACTCTGTAATTGCATTATATGTGTCTACCAATCTCTCTCTCTCTCTATATATATATATATATATATATGAACTCTGAGGTCATCACGAAATGGCGTCAGTCTGATTTATACCAGGCTTGATGATTGTGCTCAGGCATGAAACAAATGTTGACCTCGATGTACACTATTATATACACACATGTTAAATCCTTGATCCTGAGCTCTTTAACCCATAAATATAGTAAACCATAATACTATATTGTTACAGTGTAACCCGGATATAAGAGAAACCCTGATATAAGAGAGATTTTCTCTGGTCCCAAATTAGAGCCTGTGTTAATGTATATAAAATAGACCAAACCCAGATTTAAGAGAAACCCGGATATAAGAGACTTCTTCTCCGGTCCCGACAACTCTCTTATATACGGGTTACACTGTATCTTATATATATATATATATATATATATATATATATATATATATATATGTGTGTGTGTGTGTATTTGTGGAATAAATTCTTTTTCTTTTTAGCTAGAGGTCGAGGGTGGGATTCAGTGTCGATATTAACTTGATTCACTTTATGCTTAAACTCGTTTAGCCTCATAGAATCATGAAATTGGTTGATTCTGATGTTAGTGGTTATTGGATGTTTTTCGAGATTATTTTCGCTCCAAGAGTTTCCGAACTCACTACATGTTGTTTGTCTCATTTAGTTATTCCGTTTGTCTTTGACTTTTCATACTTATTAGACGAGTCATGTTCAAATTCACTTATGATGATTTTCAAGCTAATTTAATTCTGATCTGGGAAGATATAATTATCTCAAAAAGACATAAAATCATACATTTTTTTTATTCCGTGAACCGTAGGGGCACCATGTGTACTGCATCTACAGTAGAAGTGGTGTTTTGGGGGCAAGATAGCTTGATAGGGCACAACTCTCCCCAGGTTGGTTTTGAATTCAGATTTTTTCCTTCTCCTAGACTCGTTGCCACCCAAGATTGTCCTGCTATTTATCCACAGCTGGGGATAGAAGAAGAGGATTCATACCTTTCCCAATGGTATTAGCACTTAAGTAAATGTAATGTATCCGCCTGTAATTCGACATAATAATAATGATAGCTGGCAATATGTATTCGAGCATACCTGTCTGCTAGGGCGGCTAGCCAATCCCTGTTGCAGATGCTCGCTCAGGCACATTTTTGTTCAACATCCTCGGAGCCAACCTGTGGTTTATTCTGCAAGTATGGTGAGCAGACCTTAGTTACAGTTTCTGGGGGAGAGCGTGAGCAACAATTTAAACAAGGCCAGCACACTCAAATCTTCAATTACGATAACTTGTGACTTCGTGCTAATACAGCTATCGACGGACCCCAAGTGTTCCGCTTATCCAATTCCACTCACAAGGCTTGGGTTAAACCGTGGTATGTTTTTCAGGCATTTTCCAAAGGTGCCGCACGTTGTGATCGTCCCCCTACTGACCGATAACATCAGGAAGGAGACTTTCTGAAAAATCAACCGTGCTGAGAAATAATAAACACACACACACACACACACACACACACACACGCGCATATATATGCGCATACGTGCATATTCATATATATATATATATATATATATATATATAGTTTTGGATAAATATTAATACAAATCCATTGTAAGATTCTCTTTTCATAAGTTTGGGTACGAAAACTGTGAGCCGATATCAAAACCTTTGAGCTTGAAAAACATGAAATTGGCTTCGCCTTACCGTTTGTTTTTTCGTGGCCAAGGCGCACCGGTCTAAACGTTTATGTTAACTTTGAGATTTTAATCTGCGTTTAATTTAACGTTCCCTCCACGAGACCCAGTATTTTTCTAAAAAATTCAACCTTAATGATTCGTGCCTGATGAGTTGGTAGAACAACGAAATTTAATTTGCACTTCGAACGTAGATATATGTATATTTATTAATATATACATCTAATATCTAATTATGTGGTTTATATTCACATTTATACATACATATATATATATATATATATATATATATATATATATATATATATATACATATATATATATATATATATATATATATATATATATATATATATATATATATATATGGTGGACTAACTTATATTTGTCATTTGTACACATTTAGCTAATCTGTCTTCAACGTGGGTAGTAATGAGTTAATTGAGAAGTGATCTGTTTAGCAATGTGAGGATATTCCTATTGTGAGCAGGCAGACGTAATTTTTTTTTCATACGGACGCGCGTATGGTGATGGACGCGAGGCTGCACGGCTCTATCAGATCGCGTTTCCATATCGAAGGCAGCCGAGTCATCTAACCTTTGCTGCTGTTTCTTTGCTGTGCAGAGACAATGTCTGTGGTACCCCGAACTATGATAATAAGTATTCATGGATTGTATCTGGGATTGTACATCTAATAGCCTCTACCGTAAACTTAAAACTAAATAACAAAAATAACGAATGATTTGCGGAGATACGTTTATATGGACTTTTGACCGTGTTTTGATGCGAGGAACACGCCCCAAAGTTTGTAAAAGAATTTTTGATACACCCTGTATATAAATAAAGAAAAAAATGGAGAAATTCTTATATTTACTTGCTTATGAAGATCGCACTTTTTTTTTAAACTGAGAAATTTAATTATTTATCATATAAGCATCTTTATCTAAATGTATATTTAATAATGTTTTTTCTCTCTCTATCCTGTGCGACAAAGAATTTGCCTGGGGTGTGTGGGGTTGTTGGCGAAATTTGAAAATAATCTTTTCAGAATTTAGCAGCCATCTTTTCATCTTTTGTTTACTTATTTGCTTACATTTGTTTATTTAATCATATATTTTCTCTGATTAATTCAGTATTTCTGTCTTAACGCCGAGCGAGCAGCTTTATTTTTCTCCTAACAGAATTAGCCTGGCATAATTTTTGTATTCTTCACCTCTGCGAATACCCAGCGCATAGCAACGACAAAACTGAGTTTTATCTATCTATCTACGCAGAGTATTTATTGCAGTATGAAGTCTTAGAGAGAAACCGAGGTTTGCTAAAGATGGTACGATAGTAATTCTTAATAGGAGTTCTTGG